AGTAGGTATTTAATCTGAGTGGGTAATCAATTTCATTATATTCAATATATAGCAAGGAGCTGAAAATTCCTCATGTCATTGAGGTATTAATACTTAAGAATATTAATGAAAAAAAAATCTGACCTTAACGGTGAAAATCTAGAATTATAGGGTGATGGAAAAAACAGTGGTTTTTGAATATTTTTTGTAGTTGGCAAATTTTTTCAATCAATAAATCACTCTGTATACCATGAAATGCATGATAATGTGTCCTCAAAAATTATAATCAATAGCCTAAATCAACCCAATCCCTAATAACACAAAGCTATTCAATGGATATCCATTGGATGGGCGTACATGGACATGCTGGATGTACATTGGATGGCTCAAAATGTCCAGCTTCTATCCAATGGACATCCATTGTAAATCCAGAGGCCACAAGTTTGGATGTCCATTGGATGTACATCATGTACATCTACTGTACAACTACTGTACATGAATTGTATAACTATTGGACATAAATTGAATAACTATTGGACATGAATTGTACACCTATTGAACATGAATTGTACAACTACTGGAAATGAATTGGACAGCTACAGTACACCTATTGTACAAATATTGTACATGAATTATACATTTTATGTATAAGTTTTGGGCAATATAAATAAAACTCTCCCCCTATATGAATTTTGAATATATTTTTTCTTCTATAATGTCCCAAGAGTCTAAAGTAGAGCTGTTTTAGCCCTGCTATGATACATTTACCTATAGTATTCACTTGTACAGCTCAAATGGTTGATTCATACAACGTTCATTATTTAATCACAATTTCTCTTAATTGGGTTAATTGAGAGAAATAAATCACTATTGAATATTTCAAATATAACGATGCATGATTTCTTTGAAAATAATAAATGAGAGATCACACACACACACTTTTCATAAAATAATATGTGAACAAATTGAAAAAGTAATCATTACACATAACCTCAAATGCTGCATGAATCTGTCTCAAACGATACCTACAAACAATTTCTCTTAATTGGGTTAATTGAGAGAAATAAATCACTATTGAATATTCCAAATATAACGATGCATGATTTCTTTGAAAATAATAAATGAGAGATCACACATACACACTTTTCATGAAATAATATGTGAACAAATTGAAAAAGTAATCATTACACATAACCTCAAATGCTGCATGAATCTGTCTCAAACGATTCCTACAAACAATTTCTCTTAATTGGGTTAATTGAGAGAAATAAATCACTATTGAATATTTCAAATATAACGATGCATGATTTCTTTGAAAATAATAAATGAGAGATCACACATACACACTTTTCATAAAATAATATGTGAACAAATTGAAAAAGTAATCATTACACATAACCTCAAATGCTGCATGAATCTGTCTCAAACGATACCTACAAACTTCTGCATACAATAACAGTAAACACGACGAACGACTCAAGGGACGACTCGAATAATTAGTTCACTAATACGCTGCATGAATAATCTGCCTCAAACGATACAAACTTCTGCATACAATAACAGTAAACACGAACGACTCAAGGTACGGAATACAAGACGAACATCAGAGACAATAGAGAACACGAAACAAAGATGGCGATGGCATTTACATTCTCTCAGGCCAATTGATACATTATGGATATCCATTGGAAAGGTGTCACTTAGTAATCCATTGGATGAGAATTTATGTTTATCCAATGGATGTACAATTCATGTCCATCAATATCCGGCACTTTTTTGGATATCCTTTGGAATAGTGTCGGCGGTATTCCATTGGATAGGCATTTTGCTTCATCCAATGGATGTACATTTCTTGTCCATGGATATCCGAAACTTTTTTGGACCTAAAATGGACATCCATTGGATGGCCTGTGTTATTAGGGATAAGACTAGGTGGCTCATTAAACTTTATTTTCTATGTATAATCGATACATATAATGAATCAATTTCATGTAAGAAGAACATATCGAATGATAATTTCAATTTTTCAGTTTTTATTAAGTTGTAGTGTCGATATTTAGAAATTGAAAATAATTCAGATGTGAATCACCCTGTGATGAAGATCAGCTTTGGTTGATTCTGTACATGGTTGTTGTACCTAAAGGTTGAACTGAAAAACTGCTTGCAGAAAATTCTGATTCATTTGTCTTTTCTTGGAGATATGGGAAGATGAAAAGGGGGCTTTCCTCAACTTCAACACCCTGTATCTAAAAAACTGGTCATAGGATCGGATTGGGACTCGGCGTATTTGATCATTAGGTCGAGTTCTATAATATATTAGAAATTCAGAGAATTCGACAGAACGCCATTTTTATATGTATAGAAAAAGTGCGGGGTCCTTTATTGTGTGACATGTTTTTCATGCACATTCATGATAGTTAATTGTCTTACGAATTTTCGAGCAGTAGTGCCTTCCACAGATTTTCAAATACTTATTCGAGAAAAACTGAAAATACAATTATTATTATACGACGCTATACATAGTGGAGTATACTACGGCCTTGCCAAAAATGCTATCTCGGAAACTAAGCGAGATAGAGGTATAGTTACTTTGGAGAAAATGATCCCCATCGAATTTTGAGCAACTTTGGTTTTTGTGTGTGGTCTGTCTGTCTGTCTGTCTGTCTGTCTGTCTGTCTGTCTGTCTGTCTGTCTGTCTGTCTGTCTGTCTGTCTGTACTCTGTGTTAATCATAAATCGATATATCTCCGGAACCCTTTGACATATCGACTTGAAATTTTGCCATCTTATTGTACTCAAAACAATATTATGTCATTGAAATATGAAGGAAATCGGAAAACTCTAAGGTGGTTTTTCCGGGTTTTTTCGATTTTTCGTTTGTTGCGACCACTCTACAAATCGCAAAAGTGGTCCGATCGATTTCATTTTTTGTGAAAAATAACTCTATCAGGAAGAGACGGAGCCTATTGAAAATGAGCAGGGTCGGGAAATTCCAAGTGGGTTTTTCAAGGAGATTTTCCGAAAAACACGGTTCGCTTTAAAACGACATATCTCCTGAACCAATAGACTAAATTCAAATTTGAAAAATGCATCGTATGCCTCTTTGATGACGCAACAAATTATTATCTAACCATTTTTTCGTGCATCCATCGGAAAATGCAAAAACAAATGAAAATCAAAACATCAAAATTTGAAATCCTTTCAATTCAATATAATATATCGAAAACAAATGGAAAAATCGAAAATTATCAGAAGTGCAAAGTTATCCACTGGAACATTTCCTACAAATTATTATCCAAATTTTTTTCTGTAAACCCAATAGTACAGGAAATAAAGTAAAAAATATGAAAAAAAATTTGAACGACCCACATGGTACCATGAAGATATATTGAAAAACGAAAGATTATCGATAGATGAGGATCATCGACTTCCACGGAACCATGAAATATTTTTTCCTTTCGTTGATTGAAAGATGGAACAAAAGTGTTGAGAATTTCGTTCTCAGATGATTCCAAATATCTCGAAAACAATTGGAAATATCTGAAAATGTTATGATACCAAAATTATTCCTTTTGATAGAATCTACAAAAAATCCTTATAAAATTTTTCTCTGAATTCAATAGTTCGGGAGATACGATGAAAAAACTAAAAAATTTACAAGTTCCTATAGATAATCACTTGCCAATAGAAAACGAAACAAAAAACAAAAGAAAATAACAAAAAGGACACACTCGACTGTCTTGATTTTTTTTCCATAAACTACTTACCTAGTTCACTCGACTGTCTTTATTTTTCGCCAATAAACTACGTGCCTAGCTCATTCTACTGTCTTGATTTCCCACAAAGAAGAAATATGTTGGCAAAGTTTTAACTTTCTTTAGTTTTTGTTTTTTCAGTCCCTATTGGCAGTCGAGTGGGCTAGGTACGTAGTTTGTGTGAAAAAACCAAAACAGTCGAGCGGGCTAAGTAGGTACGTAGTTTGTGGAAAAAATCTCCAGTTCTCTGAACTTTCATAGCGTCGTATACACATCTTTGGTGCCCAAAAATATCCTCATGATATGGTGCCATGGCCTCTACTCTTCCATCTTACATGAGCAATGATAAAATATCATCTGCTTTTATAGCGTCGTATAAATTATCTGACCCCTATACTAATCTGATACCTAATGAGAACTACATCTATGCTAATCTAATACCTTTCAAAAACTACGTACCCCACTTGTTCTTTATATCGCCCTTCCACGGCTCAATGACGCATTCCTGTATGGAGGTAAGTTGATTTCAATCGGCCTATTTTGGTCTCTGGTTCTCCCTGTTACATTTATTGGTACGTCGTTCTGATGGGACACCTTGTATAAGACTAAAGAGCTAAGGCAAATAGGAAAGCACTATGGTCTAATAAACCACGTCAGTTTGTGACAGGACATCACATGCTTTGCATTGAAGCGGGGTAGTTGTGGTACTTTTTAGCAGCTAGTGATAGGAACCACCTGAGGGTGAGCACCAAACCCTTTGACAAAATCAAGGTTGTGAAATGACGCCATAAATCCGACTTATTCTCTTTAGTAAAAAAAATTTGAATTTGCAGCTATTTTTTTTTCTTCCACCGATAGAAAATCCTGGGCACGGCCTTGGACACAATAAACGGAAAACTAGATTGACGAGCTGGCAACGTCGCAAAACAGAGGTGGTGTGACGGCTGAACTGATATTATAAGCGATTGCTGGTTGAAAACAGTTTCAGAATTCAGACGTCCATTGGTCGGAGAATTGATATAAAAGCGTTTTGTTTATAGATTTTGTTTCGTGGTAGATCTCGTACTATTTCTTACTATTTAGTTAATTATTCAGTAATAACAATATCAAAGATTATATTGAGTATTATTAGTTATCATTCCGGAATCTCAGATTGACAGTAGGTACGATCTGAGTTCTACCTAGGAACCGTGAACCTTCAAAAGTTTGTGCGGTTTATTTTTACGGTTTCGTGACTCTTCTATAGGTATTCCACTATTCCAAAAAAATGTTGGACATCGTATTACCAAAGACGGTAGGTTTTTTATGAAAAAATGTAAAAAATTGAATGGTTTGGAAATTGGATTATAGGGTGGTCTTCAGGACGCTTGCGTTGTTTTATCGATTGAACTTTAGTAGTAAATATTTTGACAAAATTGTGGTGGTTCGTACGTCTTATCCATTAAGCTCAATAATCCAAATCATTCAATATACTTGAAAATATATAATTTCCCTTGATGAAGCCTTATAAAACATGGTTGGATTTATTTTTGAAGCAATCTACTGGAGACTGCAAGGAAATGAGGGAACTTACTGCTCGAATCTGCCGTGATTATCTTCATGGAGTATGGAAGAAAGTCAATGCGAAAAATATTGACTTCAAACATATTAGGTGAGTTTTTTATCAGATAACTATATAGACAGTGTTGCCAACGACCAGTTGATAAAAAACGTCACTGTGTCATGAAATGTAGGTAGTTAGAAAAAACTAGATCATGAAAAAATGCGCCGCTGGCGAAAATTTTTTGAACCAGGCTTTCTTCTAGGTTTTTAATATTTATTATATGATGTTGTTTATATATTATCACTCGTCCCACTGATCTGAACTCTTTCCGCCTTCAACATTTTTTATTGCCTTTATTGCTTGCTTTATTATTGTTCATCCCTGTAATTTTAAATAATCTTTATATAGATACACAGAGTGCCTAATATCAGGCAAATGGAAAATGATTCTAAAAATAAGGATGCCAATAGTTTTTTGTACAAACGTCAAAAAATGACAAGGTTCGCGCATTGATAACAAATTGCGAAGTGACACTTTTTTTCAGTTTACTACACGTTACCATGATACCTACCTTGCACAAAACAATGCGCGAAGTAAAACAGTGCGCGAAGTACCTACTTCGCGCATTGTTATGTAAAATATATGAGATATATAATAATAATAATAATAATAATAATAATAATCGTCTTTATCTTTCAACTTTATAGTCCTCAATCGAGCAAACATCCACGAAATCATTTATTTCCGAATGTTGAACAATACCTTTGTTTTATCTCTTGGAGCGCACGAAAGGAAATTCCTATTATGTTCGTGGAATATTGTGCGTACCTAGGGAGGATACGGGGAGACCTTTTAAGCCAGTTCAACCCTATTTACATCAAGCTAAACATATTTTGACTTTAGAACTAGATGTTGTTTGCAACTCCAGCGCGAAATACTTTGGTCATCTCGACTATTTTTTTAACTCGGCTACGCCTTGTCAAAAAAATCAGATCTCGATCACCAAAGTAGCATTTCGCGCTCTAGATACAAAAATAACTATTTATCGGATCACATCAACATCCTTAAAATAACAAATATTGAAAATATTGAATTACCTATGCTGTCAGTTGTCAATGATGACAGAAGCAACTACTTATTATTCTTTGGCAGCCAACAAATTATACCTACAATGTCAGGAAAAACGTACTCTATGTAAATGATGTCAAAAGTCGTATTATCTATACCTACTAAATATTAAAGGTGAATAACTCTGGATTAATTCAATGTATAGTTCGGTTAAATATTGTTTTCCAGAAAAACGCATTTGATGTTTACAAAATGGCAAAATTATTCTCTAGCTACTATAGGTGCAACATTTACCCTCCACGTCACCTCTTGAAAAGGCCAGTTCTAGCCGTAAATAAGCCGTGCTGGCAACACTGACTATAGACTAGGTATACAGGGTTGGGCTATCCAAACTAAATGTGTGTACCTAATTAGCCATAGGCGGCGCGAAACGCATTCCATTGGTAGATAATTATTGATAATATGTTGGAAGATACATTACATTGTCAAAATCTCCATACTATCACTAGGTATCTATTTTCTCGGGTATTTCTGTCCAGAAGAACATTTCCAATGAATTTGTTTCATCAATAATTCGAAATTCCACTCAGTAGGAAAAATATAATGGACTCTGTGGTTGTGTTCTATAATACTTGATATATTATTTTCCAAACTCAAAATAGTTTATTGATAAGTACTATATAAGTTTCATAAGACACTATATTCTGTCGCACGCTCGGTCGCACGCGCAAAAAAACTAGTGCAACAATATAATGTCTTATAAAAGGTTTGTAATGTACTATTTTTTCCATTTTGCATTTATTTGTACTCTTATTCAAAAAATTTCATGAATAGAAATACCTAACCTATTAAAAATAGTAGTTGGAAGTAAATATGAAAAAGCATTTAAATATATGACGTTACCATAACTAACCTTGAAAGAAGAAATTCAGCGTGTCCTAATAGAAGACGTTTCGATACACATTCGGGTTTCATAATGACGTTATTAAAGATGAAAAAAATAGGAAAAAGCGAGGGAAAAAGTGATGTGTATTTGTATGTTTTTGTTATTTCATTTTGAAGAGAGTTTAAAATGTTATTAAAATACTGCTAATTTGCTAGTTCAGTCAACCTTATATTGCTGGATCCTGAAAAAAACATCATTGAAATAGGAAATACCTATTCTTTCCAATTTACCTAATATGTTTTTAGTCATCCAACTATACAGAGTGTGCGGAGGGGTGTGCCGAAAATTGGCTCCAATTGTTTTATTAATTTAATAAAAATCATCATTTTTTCTCACACGATTTAATCGGCCTTCTAATTTTGAGTTTAGACAACCTAATTTATGTCAACTCATCGATCCGAGCATCTATCACAGTTTTCGAGATATGAAATTTTTTCTTAAAACAATTACCTACCACCGTAGCAATTTACAGAAACATATTTTTCTATTTTGCGTCTTTTATGAACTCATTATGATACCCAAATGGGAATCGAAACAGCTTATTCTATTATTCTATAAGGACACGCTGAGTTTCTTTTTTCAAAGTTCGTAATAGTAATGTCAAACTGTCAGCTACACACTAGCGTCTAGAGACTGGGCACAACAAACAATCCATGTACAGAACGATGTTTAAATGCATGTTTCACTTCACATATTCTATGGACGAAATAATCTATAATTATTATCATGTAATCTGATTTGAATGGTTCAATTGTTATATACAGTATGATGCAAATGTATGGAATAAATTCATTATTTCGGAAATGGGCGACATTTGAAGAAATTCCAAAAACACGTGAGTTTTAATTTTTGAAACCTCATCTCATGACATTCATATGAGAGATGTTACGTCACCGGTGTTGGAGTAATGACGTAATGGACGGTTTTTTTAAATACAAACAGGGGTCATGTGACACCTCGTTTGAAAGGTCTACTGATCGTCTATCCAATAGTCAAAATTTTGCAAAAGAAGATTGAAAGTAGAATGGATTATCATTTGGTTAACTGAATCTTGCAGAGATCTTCTACTGAGAATTGAACATCGAAGGGTCGTCTAGTTGAAAAAATACATCAATAAAAAAGTTCTGAACTCTACTTTTTGGATTTTTTTCGGAAGTCGTCTTGTTTTGAAATTAATTTATTCCATACATTTGCATCATACTGTATATCAACTATAACATTACAGGTATCTTGAGCATTTATCATAAAATCTACTGGTATGTTTTAATTGTTTTATTGGCCTGCTGTTGGCACAAAATTGGGATAATTTTAATCTGATCAGATTATTTTTTGTGCAATGCGACTGTGAGGTAGAGGCTGTATAGAAGTTGAAGGCTGAGAAGAAAACATTTGAGCTACCCCAATTTTTCTCTTCCTCTTCATAGAAACTTCTATGTGTCTAAATGGGACACACTAGAACGCCGAAAACAATGTCCTGTATAGCCCCTTTGGGCAAATTCCCTCAGTTTTCCTCTTCAGTCTTTCTCAAATTAGAAAATTCAGATTTTCAAAAGACCAACAATTTCAAATTGTATCACGGGAATAATGATGATAATTTGAATAATTTTTTTCACCATCTGTCAAATTTGGGAATAAACATTCAAATGTTTTTTATTGTTACCGCCGACACTTACTTCGTATCTTTCTGATATTTGATGTCTTCATTGATGACATTTTTTTTAAAAGAGTACAAATGAATGCAAAATAGAAAAAATAGTATATTACACACGTTTTATGAGACATATTGTCACACTAGTTGTTTTAGAGCACTCCTACAAACAACGCGTGCGACAAATTAGTGTCTTATACTACTTGTATAATACTCACGAACCATTCATAAGTAAAGCACCATATTTGTTGTGAAACAGTTGACTGAAAGTACAGACTAACTGCTGATGTCCCATCGATGGTCCAATTTTGTACCATATGGGCACCGGCGATTTTGAAATGTCTCATTCGCATTAAGAAAATACCGGAAACTGGAGTTCAAGTTTTAGTTTTTCTGCTTATAATATATCGAAGACTGGAACCTTATCGGCACGATATTCACACTACACTGGCCCCAATTATATCGGGTTATTTTAAAAATGTCATTGAAAAAAAAAAACCTTCTGAAAAAACAATATTCTTCCACCATCTAGCTATAGAACCTACCATTATTAAGTGTGTTTGTACTACCAAGGTGGTTTTTGTCATTTCATGAACTACTATAGTAGATGAAGACATATATAATTAACCCGATTTCACTGTTCTGATGCGAGATTCGCAGGAATGGCCCTCGAATCAAGTAGGTATTTTTCAATAACGACTTGTCATATGCTGTCATGGTCATGGCATCGAACATCAACTGAAAGTTGTTGGATGGTCATGGCTGGATTTAATTAGAATTGAGAAGAAGTGCTTTCATAGTGACAACCGGTCCATATTTCAGTTTCACAGAACTATAAAAATAGTTATTTATACACGAAGGTAGTAAAGGAGGCTTCAGCCGAGGGGTATAAGGTCCCGTCTCGGGTCCCGTGGTATTAATATTCTTTATGCACTAGCGGGCGGTAAAGTGCACTTAATCGCCCAGATTTACGGGCGTAAAGTAGTACTTTACCGCCCGCGGGTCCATTATCGCCCACGGGCCATAAAGTGCACTTTACCGCCCGCTGTTCTCAAGTCCCTTATATCCACACATCCATTTGTGGAAAACCTATATTTGAACTCTCAGCCGATTCTATCGTTATGATTATGATACATGTTATTGTTCATCCGATTCCATCTTCGCTATAACTCTTCTTTGAATAGTTGCTTTCTAGCTGTCTGAAGTTTTTAGCCAAAAGATGACAATTTCAGCTTGTTTTTTGAATGTATTGCTAGACAGCAACCATCAGATTGATTGACAATGTCAAATTTAGGTAGCTATATACTGGGTATACGTATTGTTACATCTCAAGGAATGAATCTCTGTTAGTGAACAAAGAGTTTTACCCTTACGATAATTGCGATATTCCTACGGTAATCTTAATATGTAGATTATACACATAAACATTGCGCTTCTCTTGAAAAC